AGTGGCTTCTGCCGCGAACTCGTTAGAAATGGCTAATTTCGGTGCCAAATTTATCGGTTCCTTCCTTTCCTCTTCTCCTGTACACACATTTTTAGCCGTAAGGTACATGTTTTTGACAAGTGATTTTTTCACGTGTGGAGGATGAGAGTAGAGGTAGTGAACTAGTACACTTTTACTACTTGGCTTACGATACCATTTTGTTATATAGCCACTTTCTTAAAGCTTTATTTGGATGTTTAAGAATGGAAACAGCTCTTGGTTGCTTTTTCTGGTGTGAATTTTATATACTCTGACTGCCTATTTAACAATTCAAAGCACTAATCCATCTGTTGTGCTTTATAAACATAGACATAAAGCATAAAGCATAAATCATAAACAACAACGACAACTACACGAACCTTGCACCATCGCATCAAGATCAGTTTATAAGAACGTACTTATTAGTTGTGCGGGCACAATCTCCATTTCTCGAAGCTTTGTTGGTTTAACCATTATGGTACCCTGGAGTCCCGAGATCAGCCACACCAAACTCTGCCCCAGGTCGGCACCACCACAGGCAATCGCAGCCCTTGTGGATCAGGGGGAGATTTAGCACCATGCGACTAATTTGCTACCCTGACGATGGTGGATCTTGGTATTGGTTTACTCTTAGCTAGGATTCCTGATGAAAACGTCGGACACTTTCTCAGCTTGGGAGACCCTGCTAGGGTAATGAATCTCCCCATTGTACATCGCAACCCAACACCCAGGAACACCTCCCAGCCACGATGAGCAAGTAAACCGTTGAGAAGCATAGGAACGTACAAATAAACATATCGATTATTTATCCCAAGGTTTGCAGAAAGTCGTTCTTTTGAGTTCTATCAACTAAATTCTCATCAACTTCATTGACATCACAATGACGTTCCTCAAACATTCGAGTTAAACTTAACTATATTAAGATTTCACAATATCTATTCCAAGGCGCGTGTGGCGTGGTGGTTGGAGGCGCTACTGCAACAAACACGTGGAATCGATCTCATCGCCCATGGCCCACCAAGCCTTCTATTCCTCCGGTGTGCGCAAATTGGTACCTGACTTGTCTGGGAGGATAGCAGCACTATGTCTATACATTGGGAGGCCATCGAAAGTCATTGTAAAGGCCGGATATGCATTCAGTCACCTCCAGCGATTCTTAGTGAAGTCGAATGCATGGCGCATCCCTCAGGGCATGATCAACACAGAGAGCTTTATCCTTTTTATTTTTTATCTACCTCTACTTTTTTTGTCATACTTTGGTTTTCTCACGATGAAAAAATCGTTCTGCGAAAAATTAAAAGGAAGTAAGGCATCTTTAAGCAAACAAAAATCTTTCGCTTGCACATAAACACAAAGGCTACATGCTCATCTATTTAACAAAATTACTCACCCATGTAGGATTAAACTGCCCTAGATGATTTCAAAACGACAGTCAAATACATCCATTTCAGCAAATTTCAGTGCTCGTTGTAGATAACAGCAGGACTTTGTAAATTGAACAGGAAATCTCATGATTTAAGTCCAGCAATTACTTCAGACTCCACTGGCTCTCTACTGGGTTTTGGAATGCGTGGCAACTTTCGCCACCTTCGACATGGCCGATATGTTAATGTCAGTAGTATTGAACCAGCCTTTATAAACCTTTTTCTTAAAATTTTGCGTGAAAAATCTGTATCTCATCTACCTTGGAAAGGCACAGCGCAGTAGATAGAGGGGCTCTTCAATATAGCTAGGCTACCGAAAGTCATATAAACCAGTATGCGTTCAATCATCTCTAAGCGGTGGTAGGTGATCGAATGCATGGCGTATCCCTCAAGCACTGATCGAAATTGGAACGTTTATTCTTTTAAACGTTATCTATGTTGCTTATAAGATTCAGCATCTCTCAAGAGGATCGTCAAACCACACATCCAGCATATTTTCCAAAATCCTATCAATTTCAAAGCGTTTCATCGATTTTCGTTCAATCAAAAACTGTTCGCTGTTACTCTTGGAATCAGTTTAATGGTTCATTGTATGTGATCACACTGTGTTGGTGGTGACTGTTGTTTCGTCAAGGATCGTTTTCCACACATCCGTTTGTATGGAAACACAAAAGCCTTTGGAACGAAACTTACTTGATAGTTGATGCTTGAACGGCTCGTCCTCGCTAGCTGTGCGGGCTCCAGCATAATCACCATTTTTCCGAGATTTTCTGGTTAAGCCATTGTGGTTCCTTGGAATCCTAAGGTCACCCTGGCCAAAATCTGCCCCAGGTCGTCACCGCGACAGGCAGTCGCAGCCCTCGTGGATCAGAGGGAGATTTGCCACCATGCAACTTTGATACCAGGACGGTGGTGGATCCTGCCAATGGTTTACTCTTATCTTGGCTTTCTGATGGAAACGCCGGACTCCTCAGCTTGGGAGATTCTGCCGTGGGGACGAATCTCCCTGCTGTACATCGCAGTCCGACACCCAGGAACACCTCCCAGCCACCATGAGAGTTGGAACGAAACACCTCAAATATTTTTTTAAATGATTCCGATGATTTAGAAGCTAATTTCGAATATATGTCTACGCATTTAAAGTAGCATGTACTCTTTCATTTTGAGCTTTATCATTATCGGCTCGAGCCCACCTTCACAGTTATTATTTGTTGGAACTCTCCTCAGATCATGATAGGAACTAGCAAATGTGTTACACTAGGTATCCGAAGTGGCCCAAAACTACGGAAAGAATGACGAGAGAAATAGAAAGTACAATTTGATAAACACTGTAGTTTCTGAACGATACTGATGTCTTTTCTTCACCGTTCCCCATTCGCATCTTGCGCAACAATGAGAGCTGTTGCAAGGAATCTAGTTGCGCCTGTTGCATAGTTTTGCGATTCCGGTTGTTCCTAAAGAATCGTATCCAAAGCCAGAAATTCGTAAAGAATCCAGGCCGTTTCGCGATGTTTATTGCTGTCTTTAGAGAAAAGATTTTTTAATGTAACCTGTTATCACATTTTGGATGAAACTCAGCAATTCTATCAATTGGTTACGAGTCTGTCGTCTGCTATCCACAAAAGTTTTCTGTTTTTCACGAAGGTTTACTTGCCATTGGAAAATTTTCTCACATACATTGTCTTCGACCCTGATCGACCATGATTATCCGTCAAATCGTGAGATAACCCTTCTAAAGCACTTCCAAGTTCGCACCAAATTACCGTGCGCCCTTCCTCAATTCTATTCTGTTCCTTCAGTTTCGACAAATTAGTGGACCTTTTTACCTTTACCAGTGTGGTGATTGAATCTCTCGTGAAGGTCCTCATAGCGTACCAATTCCACATTATTCGTTGTTGTTCATTCCTATCCTTCCTCCACCAGTGTTAGTTTTAGAGGCGTCCCGCATTCTTTTTTTCGCTAGTCACTTCGCCGTTCTCATTAGCCTAGAGTGCTAACAACGCTAACGTTGATCTGTAATTTTAACTGCTGTACTCATTTAAACAAATGTACTTTATATTTTTCTGATTTCCTCTTGAAAATAAATAGCTAAATATCTCTGTCTTTGATTTTTAGGTACATTGCCCTGAAGACTTGCCTCGTAGGGGTTTTACGATGGAAAATAAATCAGAGCGACTGCTTTTTATCAAGTAACAAAATTCAGGAAAGCCCGGAATGTGCCATGGACAACTCAGAGGTGTACAACACTATGATAGATTTTTTTGCAAAATCTACAGATGTATTTGTAAACGTAATTTATCCGCTGCTATTAACTCAACTCCGATAACGCATAAATTCTAGGGCCTAATTTATGGGACTAACACCTAGTTCTCATTGATTGTGGAGTGTGTTGAACCCATAGCGTGCTGTCTCTTGTGCCTTTCAAAGAAGAGGCATGTGGATCCTCTCTATTATCGAAGTACGCAGATCACCAGTCTCCACATGTGGGAAAGGTCCTAACATATTTTTCATCCTTTCGTTGTTCTCTTGCAATCGTCGTCCATAGAGGTGGTTGAGCGCGTATGTGGCTATCAATACAATTTGAGACTCTGTCATTCACTCTCACAAACAAGTTGAATGCTGATCGAGCGCGATTTTTGCCAGATTTCCTTTCCTTACTACATCGTCCCCTGGATGGATGCACTGACTACAGGACTCTGTGTCATCACAGAAATTGCTGTCGGCCTAGAAGAATCAGATTCTTAGAGCAGTGAACTTTTTCCCAACCTGAAAGGTCTTTCTCATTAGCGGCAACCTTTGAGCTACTCAACGGCATGGAACGTGATTTAACCGTCGCAATATTTACGTACTTGCATTAGTGTTCCATAAACAATACACAAACAGTTAATGCAGTCTTTTCATATGTAAAACCTCCGCCAGTGCGAATGCCCTTCCACCGTCCTCATCTCATCATTCAAACTACTGAGTAAAAGATCTGTTGAAACCATTGAACATCGTCGCTCATGCGCTAATCGAAACTTTGTGATAATGGTTCTTACGGGGTCTACACTCTTTTATGTTACGCCACGAAATAGGCTCAAAGCTGTGCTTAGGGAGCAGTTCATAAAAAAGTAACAGTGCAGGAAGTGTATCCGCATCACAGTTTAAAAATTATACTATTATGCAAGGCATTCTTAAATTTTAGTGAACAAGTTCGTACATGAAAGGACTTAGTGCTTCTGCGAGAGAGCACTACAACTATATCCTCTCAATATCCACATGCTAAAAATTTTGTTGCACATTTAGATAAATTGACGTGGCATATGGATCCGCTCGACTTCTAACGTCTACTGTTCTTTCTTCCTGCCAACCGCAACGGTTTTGTTGCCAAATTAATACCGCTACACCACCTACTTCGATGTGTATTTCTTACCATTTCTAAATGGTGTCTGCGGTCAGCGCGCCAACCAAATATTATAATAACTGAGGCGCCGCTATTTGTAGTAGTTCAACGCTGGGATAACAGAAGAATATCAGGTGAATAATGTAGTACTTAATTAGTTAATTGAACGTTGTCGTATGTCTGCTCGACTCTCGAAGGTGGATTTGCGTCGTGATGTCGACTATTTGAAGGTTCCACAACAGATAGCTGCTTAGTTCTTATTGCTTGAAGACCTGTGAGTGAGAGATGAATAGAAACTGTGGTTTTTTTGGTCCTATAATTCATCTGCACAAAGTTGCCATGTGATCCAGGACTTTAGGCTCCGATCGGAAATGCCGATAGCCTGCTACTTTGAATGAACTGCCACACAACTAAGAGCCGGTAGCTTACATGTGTTTGCATCTTCTCCCTATTTGCAGCACAAAACTTACTGGTCGTTTTCGTCTTAGCATATGTTTCAAGCTTAGGCAATTAAACCTCAATCTATGTGGGACACTTGTAGAGCTCGACCAATGAATATCTGCACCATATGTGCAGGATAGAATCATTCCACAATTGATGTAAGAGCCATATACTACAATTTGCTTAAATAGACGATGGAAATACCTTACATGACCGAGTTTTTTCGAGACTCGAAAAGAAGGACATGTTTGATTTTACAAAGGAGAATAAATGCAAAGAAATATTGCTAGTGGACAGTTTTCTCCATATGAACAACGACTGACTGAAACCAGTGCATTATAGGAAGATGCTCTAATTTAGGGATATATCACAAGTTATCGGACCATTGCGAAATATTTTGATAGAACTATTTATTCACCAAAGCCAAAGAATCTCAAAATGAGATCGGCCAATCACTGTCCGTTTTCGCGAAACAAATGTTTACCGAAGCAAATGCATGTCGATGTGAACTCTGCTGATCACTCTTGGCTTCCACAGAACACATCGACGCACTCGTTAACGACAGTAGATGATCAAGAGGTCGTGAGATTTCGTGTTATTTAATGATTTTCGAAATCGCAATATGCCCCTGACATTGAGTTTCGGAAAAAAGAAAGAGCGAAGTAAGGTTGCTAATGCGATTTATGGTAGTTTTTGAACTGCTCCTATGGTCGACTTTCTATTAAACTTGGCACTGGGTTATAAATGTAATTAAATAATAAATAACAATAATGTAGAATAATAAAATTATGAAGTCGTTTTCTTCACCAGTAATCGCGATGCTGTTATGCATCATACGTTTAGTTCTTTCTGTTTGTGTTATTGAAGCGTTTGGTCTAGTAGATTGTACATCAGTATACCCTTCCAGGCTCTGAAGAGGGCGATACTGCCGAAACGTCACCTACTATCGGATTGTATCAGTTTTTGTCCACAAGTAAACATCTGCTGTATAACAACTTCGCGATTTGATATATTTATCTATGTGATTCTATAAACTGATCTTCTGCACGTAACATCACGGCTCTGAAGAAGACGAAGTCGCCGAAACGTCAGCCATCGATCAATAGCATCAAAAACAACGACAACGAAGACCTGTACCAACCTCGCATCAGCTAAAGAGGATCAGTTTATAAGATCACATAAATAAATATATTAACTATCTAGGCCGAGGGTTATAGAAAGTCGGTCTTTCGAGTTATTAACTTCGCGATTGCTAAGATAGAAAACGACGAATTTCTGAACTTTGTTATCGTCGCTTTAAGGAATCTCTTTCGAACAATGGATAAAAAAGATTGGATATAGCATGAAGAACCATATGCTTTACAATACTTAACACTATTATAACAATGTTTACTTTCTATTTTCTGCCTTCTATAATTTTTATGGCTGAGTATTAAGCGAAATTCAACCACAAGATTGCTGAGATATTTGCAAAACTCCGGACTACAGGTGTCTGCGGCGGGAAACGAACCCGCTGTTGTCCTTTCCGGGGAGTAACGCGTTCACTACCACACTATGCGGTTCCTTCGTTTAGCCGCCTGTCTCTCAGCTAATTCTGTCGATCAGCGCCATCAGCAATCACCCATCAGCGGGATTCATCTGGGAACCACAAATCGAAAACAAAAAAAAACTAGCTAAGAGAAACGCAAAGCAAGAGCCTCAGTAGTGCAGTGTGTAATATACAAGCCCACGGAAAGAGTAATCGTGGTTGGATCTGGCCCTGAGCCCAAGTTTTGCGAATCTCTCAGCATCGTTGTGGTTGTATTGCACATCATACTCTGCGGTGAAAAATTACAGTAGGCAGCAAATAAAAAGTTAGCATTATCCATTTAATGGTTCTTACTCTGATATACTTGCATGGTATATACGAGATAGGAATACTTTACAGTTAGTGAAAGTAGCTTAAAGGTACTAACTTCGTTAAACCATACAGAACGTACTCTACGCTATCGAGAGTCCTCTCGATATCTTGTGCTAACAGACATATTTGATTCGTCGAAGGAAAATAAATCTGGAAGAGTATTTCTAGTGAGAACCTTCCCTTCATATGAATAACGAGTGATGAAAGCCAATGCATTGTAGGAAGCTGTTCTGAACATTAGGTCAGCCACAAGATATCGGAAATATCACGATGGAAGCATTTCTTCACCAGAGTCAAGGGATCTCAGTGTGACATCTGCCAATCATTTCCCATCTTCGCAAAGCGAATATTCACCGAATCCAATGGATGTGGATGTGAACTTCGATGATCATTGTCTTCCTTCGCAATGCACCTGGACGCACTCATTTAATACGGTCGTTGATCAAGAGGTCATGACATTTCGTTTTAATTGATGATTTCAAAATTGGTTTCAATCTCAATATCCTCCTCATGTTGTCTTTCAAAAGAGACGAAACAAAGTTGTGAGTGCGAGATTTATAATGATTTTTAAACCTCTTTTCATAGCGTTAAAGAGTTTCTCAACAAATAATGCATAGAGGGTGGGGACTGGATACAGCATCATAAACCAAATGCTTTGTAATATTAATACCACAGACTCTCTCAACCACTAGCTTTCCAAGTATGCCTATGCAGGGATACAATCGAGTTGTGACGGTAAGTATAGTAACGAGACAAGGTAAGTAGCTACAAGTGGCATCCTCACAACGAGGCACGCTGGAATAATTGCTTCAAAAAGACAGAACGCAGATTTCTAGTGACAGGAACGCCAACGTGTGGGTCTTACTGAACTACCGCAGCTATTTTATACTGCCTCAACTGATGGCCAGTTGTTTTGCTGTTGTTGACTTCTTGGAATTGCTTTCTCATTGTTGAGACATTCAGTGGATTGCCTGCACCCTAACAGACGGAATCATTGTTCTGCGGTCAAATTCTAACATATACGGCCTCGATTGGTGCGCAAAAATGTCCCCATAATGCTAATACATGAACTATCTGGGGTGGTGTTGTTTCACGTGGTGGCTGTACTATGGAGAATACTTTTGTTTAAAAGATGCTTATTGGTCGACTTCCAGACATTTTCGGTCTTGTAAAAGCCTCATGTGATGTTATCAAGAAACCAGGGTATTGTTATCCGGTTTTTCTTATATACAGTAAATATTACAGTGACAACTCTTAGAGTCAGATCAAGCCAAATAAAATCAAACACCAAACCTAAGTGCTAGTAGTATGAAGATTCAGATAATTTTAAGGTTTTGCCGACTTGATTAATTTAAGTAAAATATCTCCTTTTTCAGTTATTCTTCCAACTTGAAGTTTAAAACTGAAGTTGTCAAAAACTACATGGTTGGCTATTTCTTTCAGTCTGTTATGAGTCCCGAGTTCTTTATTCCGGAATCCTATGGTGGAGAACTCATCACATTCTCGATCACTAATTCAGAAGATAATGGAGGAAATTATGTAAACTTTCCATTTAATGATTTGTGTTAAAAAATGCGTGCACTGTAGATACGATATAGAAACATTCCACAACTAGTGTAAGCAGCGTACAACTACAACTCGTCTAAAAAGCTAGAGAAGATACCCTACGTGATCGAGAGTCTTTCAGCAATTTGTGCCAAAAAAGGCATTTGACTACTAGAAGGAAAAAATTTCCATATTAACAACGACTGGTTGAAGCCCATACCCTGCAAAAAGATGTTCTAATTTAGGAAAATGCCACAAGCTATCGGACCCTTGCGACATATTGCGATGGAACCATTCGTCCACCACTGTCATGGGATCAGAGTACGACATCCCCCAATCATTCTCCGTCTTCACAAAACGATTGTTCGCCGAAGCCAACGGATGTCGATGTGAACACCGCCGATTGTCTGCTTTCGGAGTACACATGGAAGAACTCATTTAATACGGTCGATGATCAAGAGGTGGAGAGGCTTTCCCTTTATTTACTGGTTATGCCCTCAATATGCCCCTTGCAGTGACTTTTGGAAGAATCAAAGAGCGAAAAAGATTTTGAATACGATTTACAGCCAGTTTTGAGCTTCTTTTCGTAGCCTTAAAAATGCCTGAACGAATAATGCATAGGGAGAGCTGGATATAACAATATGAACTATGCACCTTATAACATTACTTAGTATCATTATTAAGATTTTTAGTTTCATAACCTTATGCGATGTTATCAATAAATCAACATAGTGTTATCAGGTCCTTCTTACAACATAGTGAATATTACAGCTATAATAATGCTGAGATATTCAAAAACTCCGGAGTGCAGGTGTCTGCGGTGTTCACATCACACCCTGGCATGAAAAACATTAAGCAGTAAATAAAAGTGATTACATAGTGAATATGATAATCATGACGCTTAGAATCGAATCAAAAGGCACAATAACGTAAAGGTTTAGGCGACTTGACGGTTCTGTGGAGTTGATAAATTTAACTAATGCGTCCTCATTATTCTTTTCTGCTAATCCTCTGATTTGTACTTTAAAACTGAAGTACATGACTTTATCTGTTTCTTTTAGTCAGTCGTGAGCTTCGCGGTCTTTGCTCCAGAACACAACGGCGAAGATCTCATTACGAATCCGATGTGCACGGTCGGTGCATCAAATGACGATAGAGAAAATCATGAAAACTTTCCATTTGATATTTTTCACTGAAATATTGATATGACATTAATATTGAAAAACATGCATGGTTTCAGCAACTGATATATTCAGAATTTCAGCTGGAATTTCCACGATTCGGTCGACGACGATGTAAGAAGATCACAATGTCAAACGTCTCCCAAAGAAAAATTCTTTGGAAACTGCGGGTATCTTTTAAAGTTCTTAAGTTTGAATGATTAACTTCACTAAATACTTTAATTTTCCATCATTTTAGTCCAATATTGCCCATTTTCTTTTGGCAACACCAACAGCTGGTATATTAGAGGCCGGACAACACGACTATGTAAAAGTGACCATGAACGACAACTGCATAGAAAATGGAAAGGTACTGTAAGCTAGTGAAACGTGTAAAAAAAGTGATGGCACTGAAAACTCTATGTAAACTGTAGGCTCATATCTAGGAAAAATTAAAAGAACAAAAAAATTTTAACCTATGTATACATTCAAAAGGAAGAATATCTATGCATTGTATTCTATATATTCACCGAACTTTTGAGTTTTCAATACATGACCAGTATAGTTGTTGGTGGAACACAGTTCTTGAAGACAGTTGTCAGAACGAATTATCGCCTACTAGACATAGAGTGCTCACTTCCTACGAATTACCCACAGAAGTGTTTTAGACTTAGAATAAGAGCAAAATTTTAAACTCAAACTTCGATAATTAAACTTTTTGCAACAATATTAGCTCAACAATAGCGATACGACAGTGCGAAATAATACGAGCAACAAAACGTGGGTTAATAAGAGTAGGTAAAATGATGAGTTAAAGATAACTCTTGAGGAGATAAGAGAATAACGTTGCCATAGACTGGTTCAGTAATGTTCTGTGCAAATGGCACATAGGATATGGTACCAATGATAGGAGTAATTAACATTTTTAAAGACACATGTGAGATCGTAATAGTTCTAATTTATAATAACAGTGCGACTAGTGGAAACAGCATGAGTATTGATGTGGTGGTCACTGATTAGGATGCTCTGGGGTAGGAAGGAGTTGCACCAGCAGTGAAAAAGAGGGCTCTGCGAAGTTTACAACTATTAATTAGGATAAATCACTTGTACATCAACAGACGTTGATGGATTTAGGCGCTGAGGAGTGATGGCCACACTAATTGATAGTAATTGAATTGAATTGATTAATTGATGAATAACAATAGGGATATTTGTAGAGAATTTATAGAGGCGTAAGTATTTGAAACAGTTACTAGGTTAACAACGTATGGCAGTTAAGGATTGAAAATAACTCGAATATGTCGATGATGCACGGGTGTAGGACTTAGTTCACCTTATTCTATTCTAAGCAAAGTGGTGAGGAGGCAATATCAAGTCGGATAACAAGGAGATTTAGAAGGGCGGTGACGATCTCTACGCGGTGTTTTAAGGCAAATGGCATTACTATGGGGTGTAACCAGATTTTAGCTCGCGTATGCGCCAATGCGTATGTTGGAATGCAAAGCGAGTACACAGCCTTTTCAACCCTTGGGTTTTTATTTCTGTAGGTGCAAGGATACAAATTCCGATCAGAAGGAGAGACAAAGAGGATTCTCAGTGAACTGATTTGATGGTATCACGACAGATTTGGAAAGCACATGCAGATGCCCGCTAGTCATTCATTACGCAAATTGTCGGGCAAATTCAGGCATTTCTTAAAAAGACATAATAGAGCTCCTTCCATCCAGCTTCGAAGCACGTATATGAGATAGGTGTCGGAAAACAATTTGCGGAAAGTGCAGGAAAAGTGGATAAAGAGAGAGAGAGAGAACATCAGTTCTTCGTGAAGAATATCGTATATAGATATAGGTTAAAACGTCAGGCAAATGTGTTTAACGTTGAACATGTTCACCATAGGAAATACATGGTAATATAGAAAATAGGAACTATTTGGAAGAATAACTCAAAAGACCGGTTTTCTGTAAACCTTGTCATAAATGATTGGTATGTCTATATATGTGTTCTTAAGAACTGCCCTTGTTGAGTTGGCGGGAGGTTGGTATAGGTCTTCGCTGTCGTTATTGCTGTTGTCGTCGTTACTGTTGCTTTTGTTGTTCGATGGTTGACATTTCGGCGATTCCGTCTTCTCGAAAGCCTCAAGCGTAGGCGAACAAACTACAATTTGTAACCTAGTTTTCACCTCATTTAGTTGATTTACCCATATTTGAGGCTCTGAGGTATGCAAAATCGCCAAAACATCAGTTATCGAACAATAACAGCAATAGCAACAAAAACGACAGCAACAACAGCAACAACGACAACAGCATGGGCAATTTATGCTAATCTTGCATCAATTCGACAAGAGCAGTAGGCAAGAACATATATATATATATA